TTTAATTCCTCCCCTCCCCAGGAATTGCCATTTTTTGGCCACCTCCACATCCTCATTGGGATTTACCTGAGAGCAGCTGCTCTTTCCTCTGGGATTTCATCCACAGGTGAGCCCTACACCTGCCTCGTGCTGCAAAAGTCCGTGGAGGGAACCTTTTTCCTTAGAAAGAAAAAAAAACCCAAAAAATTTTCATTAAAAAATGACCACTGTAAGGAAAAGAAGGTTCCCTGGGGTGCCCTGTGGGGGTTTGGGCATCTCCAGTGGCTCCCAGCCCTTCACCATCAGCCCCAGACCCACCATGGACCCTGCCAAACCCACTGGGCAAATTATTTGTTGCAAATTATTTGCTCCAAATTATTTGCTCAGCTTTAATTATCAAGTTTTGGCACCCATTAGTTAAACCGGTTAATTTTATTAGGGAGAAAACAACAAATCACACAGCTGACAATAATGAGGATGAACAGGCATTTAATTATCCTTGTTCTAGACAGAACAATTATTAATTTTAAATTGCAAAAAACTCATTTGAAAAGTTTGGAGTCTGGAGAATTCTGGTGGGAGAGGGATATTGCTGCGGGAGAGCTGCGGTCAGCGGCTTCATTAATACCAGGAACTCCAGGAAATCAATTCCTGCACCAGCCTCTTCCTCCCCCTTGGAAAGGGCAGGAGTAAAACCAATAAACCTGTGTGTGGGGGGTTGTTAAAAGAGGTTTGGAGTCGCTCTGCTGGATCTGGAAGGGTTTGGGGTCCTCCTGAATTTGGGACAGCAGGGATCCCTCCCCTCAGGTCCTTCCTCAAGGCAGGCTGAAGGAGAAGCAAAACCACCCAATAATAAAAGTTGGGGAATGAACCTGCAGAGGGGAGGAACAGCAGGAATCTCATCACTCATCCCCAGTGGTCAGTGGCACAGATAACATTTTTCAAAGTGTAATTGCAGTCAATTGTACTTTCCCCCCAGTGCCCGGCAGCTCAGCTGGGGTGATAAATGTTGGCTTTTAAGCAAGAATGGATTGATTATTAATAGCTTAGATACCAGTTACAGGAACTGCAATAAAGCTAGATTTTAATTTCCCTCTCTATTAAGGGATCTCATGTTTCATTCAACGTAGAGAGAAAATAGGGGGTTTTGCAAAGATATTAGATTTACTGCCACTATAAAAGATCATTGATGCACCCAACTCTGGACTATTTTTGACTGATTTTTCAACAAAAGGCAGCTCAGTGGGTCGCTGAGTCGCCCTGTGCCCAGCCCTGAACGCCCCTGGCAGGAGGGAGAAGAGGATTTCATGGAAACCCAGAATGGTTTGGGTGGAAGGGACCTTAAAGTTCACCCAGTGCCACCCCTGCCGTGGCAGGGACACCTTTCACTGTCCCAGGGTGCTCCACACCCCGTCCAGCCTGGCCTTGGACCCTTCCTGGGGCAGCCACAGCTTCTCTGGGCAACATCTCCACACCTCCAGAGCTCCTGATCTCCCAGCCTCCCTCCTGTGCACTCCTGCTCCCCATTAAACCCAAAATCCCAGCAGAAAAATCACTTAATCAGGGTAGGGATGTTTTGGCTGTGATTTGTGTCTAAGTCAGGAGCAAAAGCATAAAAGCTGCCTTGACTGAAGAACAGAGTTGTGCGTTTTAATCTCTTATAACTTACTTTTATGATGTAATTCTGAATTATGTTATTGCATTTGTATTTAGAGAGCACACCAGATGGTGCATGCAGTAACACTTTAAATTAGGGTTTCCCAAATACACATTAAATTTAGATTTAATAAGACAGTTATCACATGGGAATTAAATACCAATTGATTATTTAGAAGGTAGCACAGCTCAGCAAAGTGTGCAGCTCCTTGCACTGCAGCTGGCACAAGGGAGGGACCTGGAGGGAGCACCCAGGGGTCCTGCCAGGCACCCATGGCCTCCCTGGCTCTTTGTCACCTCAGTGGCGACACGAAGGAGGGACATTGCTGTTCTCCCCCAGCATGCTGGGATCCCAGTGCCACCCAATGGGAGCAGTGACAGCCAGACTGGTGCCAGACCAGCATCACCCCTGGGAAAATCAAATCCCCCCTCTGAGGGCACACAAACCCATTCACAGCCACACAAACCCATCGTGCCCAGCTCCTGCCCTCCCTGGCACTTTAGGGCTCGTCCCCTCCAGAGGCTCCTGGTGGCACAGGGCCCCTGGGGACATGGGACAGCTCTGCCTGGCAGTGTCCCAGCACAAGGAGTGGGGGATCCAGCCCTGTTTCCACGTGGGAAACAGCTGGATCACAGCTCAGTCACTGCCAGGTCTGTAAAAACATTTAAGATCCTTTGCTGCCACCAATTTATTTTTTATTATTATTTTTATTATTATTATTCTGAGCCACAATGTGCTGCTCATAGACAGCGGGTAATTTACTTTTCTAATCAAATTGATTTCCATTCAAATGAATTCCCTTGTCCGTCTCCATTCCAGTAATGTTATTTTAAGCGTGAGCTCTGTCTTGGTACAAATGTCTAATCAAATGGGGAGATGCAGAGGGCAGCCTGCTGCGTCCTGGTGAATCACTCACAACTGAAATTAGAGATGCTTTTAGGTGCAATAATTTATGTATTCTAACTTCTGGTGAGGCCTGGTGAGTGAGATTACACTGCCCTCCTGGATTTATCTGCCTTGGTTTGTGGCTTGGCATTTCTGCCTTTCCCCCCCTCTCTTTTTGCCCTGATCTAATTCCTCTCCCAGAGGGATGAGCTTTGGTCCCACGGACCCTGCCTGAACCTGGCAAGGATCAGACCCAGCAGGAGGGATTTGGGTACCAAAACACCAACCCTGCCTCATCCCAACCAGCCAGAAATCAAATTCCTGCCTCACCTGAGCAACCCCTCATCAGCCCCGCACCAGATTTCTGCATTGTCACCGTGCCACTACTGTCGGCTCTCATTCCCTTTGCTGGTGTCCCCGGCTGCAGGAGCAGGGAGTGACAGCTCCTGCAGTGGCCAGTGGCAACCACCAAGCCCTGCAACGGCCACCTGCAATAGCAAAGTCCTGAAAGGCCAACATCTGAAATAACCAGCTCCTGAAAGGCCAACACCTGCAATAACCAGCTCCTGAGAGGCCAACATCTGAAACAACCAATTCTTGAAATGGCCAACTCCTGAAATAACCAGCTTCTGAAAGGTCCAACTCCTGATATGGCCAAATTCTGAAATAACAAGCTCCTGAAAGGGCCAACTCCTAAAATGCCCAGCTCCCAAAAGGGCCAACTTCTGAAATAACCAACTCCTGAAATGCCCAATACCTGAAATAACCAACTCCTGAAATAATCAGAGCCCCTTGCAATGGCCAACACCTGCAATGGCCAGCTCTTGAAAGGGCCAACATCTGAAATAACCAATTCTTGAAATGGCCAGCACCTGCAATAGCCAGCTTCTGAAATAACCAACTCCTGCAATGACCAGAGCCCCCTGCAATGGCCAATGGCTGCAATGACCACCACCTTCAGCAATGGCCAATGCCAGCTGAAAATACCAACACATGAAATGACTGACACCTGCCATGGCCAACACCTTCTGCAGTGAGCAGCCCCTGCAATCCCAGGCTCTTCTGTCCCTGGGCTGGTGATCCCTGATCCCAGTATCCCTCCAATTTTGTCCCACAACGGGACAATCTGCGCCTGTAGCACCCAGCTGTGAGGGTGTGAATAAAGAGCCAGACCCAAAGAGTTCAGCAGGTGCCGTGCTCCAACATCTCTCCCTCTGGAGCAGATCCCAAGGACATGAAGGCAGGTTAAGTCCTCAGAACACACCAACAACCAGCCTTTTTTAATGCCCTGGGGAGGGCCGCACCCATGGGTGCCCCATCGCCTCTCTCAGCCACCTCCCTCTCATTTTGGCACTGCCAAAATCACAGCCCCACCGCAGGCAGGGGGGAAAACACCTATTTTACAACAATAGCAATAAAAACAGTAACATTAATGCAAAGAAAGATCTCTTTTGTCCCCTCACGCCGGCTCCAGCAGCTCCCCTCACGTCGCTGCCGCAATCCCGGGGCCCAGCCGCATTTTCCCTCAGCACATTTCTACAGCAACGTCGTTTACTTGGTTAAATAACTCATTTATCTTTTTATACTCTCTGCAGATCATAATACACCCACTCTGACAATACCGCACACCAAAGACCTAATTTTAGCGCTGGTGTTTAGAAGTAATCAGTTTGAAATATTGGAGCGGGCGTACGAGGGGCTTGGGTTGGGTTTGGTTTTTTTTTTCCCCCTGAAACACTGACGTTTGCAAGAAAGCTGCTCATAAGGAAAATTCTGATTATAACAACTCATTTAGAATAAATCAGTTTGAAATGGTTTATATAACGCGGCGGAATGCGCCGTACGTGAAGCATCCAAGTTTCTGTGTTTTCCCTTTTCAGTGAGATGAGATTAAATGAAACCCCAAATGCAAGTGGTTTAGGGCACTTCTATTTTGCTAAGCTGAGGAAATGCAGCTTCTCAGCAATTTTATGGCCAATTGGGTTGGGGAAAAAAAAAAAAAAAAGGGCAAAAATTAGAGAGAGGAGAATAATTAGCACCATCACAGAGGAGAATTACCAACACCCCCAGCTCAGCCTCTCTGCTTTGAAACCTTTCCAGCCTTTCCCCTGTCCTCATCCTAAAAACAACAACAACCCCACAGTCTGGAGTGCTGCAAATTCAAATTTAAGCCATGGTAATAATAACAACAAATATTAGAGTTTGTAAGTGGAGGGAGGGAGGGAGTGTGTGATGTGTCCAGGTAAAAAAGCCAAAAGATGCCCAAAATTTACATCAGGTGAAGTGGGGGGAGAGCCCAGGGCGGTGCAGGGAACTCCAAAATCCCAAAATTTGGGCAAAATCCTTCAACTGGCCAAATGTGGGGGTTGTTTCATACCTTGAAGTGGAGCCTGAGCCACCAGAGCCCCTTCAACATCTATTTACAACCCCTTACTTAACACTGCCCACCACCCAGAAAGACAGAAAACAGAGCAAAGGGAACCTTTTAATTGTAATTTACTTTATTATTTTGTAAATGTGAATTTTACAAAGCGTTTTACAATTAATGATCACATTGGGTTGGTTTTTTTTGCTTTTTTTTTTTTTTAATGGATTTTTTTTTCATCATATGAAAACAGCTATGAGCACAGTTCCAGCTCGGGGCAGGGGGGATTCTTCATGTTTTCTCTCTCTTTTTTTTTTAGTTACTGATATATCGTGTCAGCCATGGCTACAAAATAACAGTCTGAACTATACAGAGTAAGAGCACATAAATACTAGTGAATAATGCACGATAAAAAATAAAATAAAATTAAAAAAAAAAAAAAAAGAAGCTAGCATCGTTCGTGGCTGAGACAGTTGAGGAACATAATTCAGTGGTACTGTGAGATTTCCTTACAGCACAGAAAGTATTTTTAACAGTCATGAATTACAGTACTACTTAATACCCTATGAAGACGCTTTAAAAACAACCTTGTACTTTAAGTCCTTTATTTTCCCCAAACATTCTGTCCAAAGGATTAATGTTCTATTTGAATCAAGTGCCATCCAAATGTTCAAGTCAAAAATATTTATACATTTATACTCAGTTGTTTTTTATTATTTATTATTTTATTTACTTCTTTTTTTTTTCTTTATTCTCGTCTGCTAAAAATAGTATTGCAAGTTTTGGCTTTTTTTTTTTTTTAATAACCTTGACATAAAAATCACGATTTTTTTTTTTCATTTTTATTTTTTTTTATTTTTTGTGTGTGTGCAAAACGCTTTTAAACAGTGGAAGAAACTGGAGGAGGAGTGGAGGGGTTTCCAATGCGAGTGCGTCCCACTCGCCCCCTCGCTCGCTCCCAGCAGGGTTTGGAGCAGGAACACTTGGAACAGCAGTTGAATCCCGGGATGGCTGCGGGGACAGCTGGGGACACTCCGGGGACACTCCGGGGACACTCCGGGGACACTCCGGGGACACTCCGGGGCTCAGCCCGGCTTCCCACGGCTCCTCCTCCATTCGCAGCAGCGATTTCCAGAAAAAAATAGGGATGTGAGCACAGCCCCGGGGACAAGGGCTGGGGACAGCCCCTGGGACACACAGAGGGGCTCTGCACCCCAAACACCGCGGGACAAGGGGGACAAAGCCCCTGGGGACACATGGAGGGGTTCTGCTCCCCAAATCCTGCAGGACAAAGCCCTTGGGGACACCAAGGAGAGGCTCTGCACCCCAAATCCTGCAGGACAAGGGGGACAAAGCCCCTGGGACACACAGAGGGGTTCTGCACCCCAAATCCTGCAGGACAAGGGGGACAAAGCACTTGGGGACACACGGAGGGGCTCTGCACCCCAAACACTGCAGGACAAGGGGGACAAAGCCCTTGGGGACACACGGAGGGGCTCTGCACCCCAAATCCTGCAGGACAAGGGGGACAAAGCCCCTGGGGACACACAGAGGGGCTCTGCACCCCAAATCCTGCAGGACAAGGGGGACAAAGCCCCTGGGGACACCAAGGAGGGGTTCTGCACCCCAAATCCTGCAGGACAAGGGGGACAAAGCCCTTGGGGACACCAAGGAGGGGCTCTGCACCCCAAACACCGCGGGACAAGGGGGACAAAGGCTCCAAGGCTGGGGACAGTCTTTGGGGACACACAGAGGGGCTCTGCACCCCAAATCCTGCAGGACAAGGGGGACAAAGTCCCTGGGGACATCAAGGAGGGGCTCTGCACCCCAAACCCCGCGGGCAGTTCCAGTTTTGGGGCGCTGCGTGGGCTCGGAGCCCCCGGGGAAGCTGCAGGGATCCAAGCAGGAGGAGCCGCTCCCAGCTCCTGCCCTCAGCGCCGGGAAAGGTCGGGAATGTCACCGTGTCACCGTGTCACCGGCAGCGGGGGTGGCAGAGGGTCATGCAGCCCCTCGGCAAAGCGGTGTTTAATTAGCGCTAACGAGGAGGAGAGGAGCTGGTCCTACTGGGGCAGCTGCGGGGAACTCGGGTGCTTTAACTCTGCGCTCGTTAAAGGTGCTTGGTATAACTTTAGATATAGAATATACAGGTAATATTGCTAATAGTCAAGCATAAGAATAAAGGTGCAGACATACCATAAATACTGATGCTCTGATTTTACACTGTCAGACCTAGATGAATGCAGTTTCCTATTCACATTATAAAGCAGCCCCAAAATTCTAGAATTTAAAATAGTGTCGTAAACAAAGAGGAGGAAGGAGTCGGTTATGATCTGATCTTCTTAATCTGTTTTCCTTGGAAAAAAAATGATCAAAAAATTCTAAGGCACTCAGGAAAGCCGCATACAATCGATGGACTGCTCTGTTCTCACCTTACATTCATTTTTAAGGGGTTATTTTTTTTTGCTTTTTTGTTGTTTTTTTTTTTCTCTGAAGAATACAATCATTGCCATATAACATTTTCAAACATATCATTAATCCTCCACACACAGGAAACATTAGTGCAAAATGCTTGCCCTCATCTACCAGATAAGGAAAAACCCAACGCCCTTCACATTTTAGAAGTTTGCCTTCCTAATAATAATAATAATAATAATTAATAAAACAAACCCAAATCAGGAAAAAGAAAGAAAAAAGGAAATGAAAGGAAAAAAAAAAAAAAAAGAAAGAAAAAAACCCCAAAATATACAGGAAGTTGTGCTAGGTATAAAAATATATTTTTTCACTGTGCAACTTGACTCTCTCCAGACTCTCTGTCCTAAGCCATTCAAGTACTTTGCTGCTGCCCCCCCGGTGGCCCCGCCGGCTGTCTGGGAACAGGTTTGGTCCAGAATAAATCCCTCCATCCAAGTGCAGCCCCCAGCCGGGGGGCTCAGCCTGCTCCCCACCCCCAGCAAGTGCCAAAAAGGAGGAGGAGGAGGAGGAGGAATCCTCTGCAATATCTTTTCTCTCTATATTTATATTTATATATATGCACACAGACACACACACAAGGGACGACTTCTGATCTCCGGCACCCGGAGCCGCTCCCAGCTTTGCCTCAGATTTTTGGCAAACCCAAAGATTTGGGGATCAGGAGGGTCCTCAGCCAAACCTGAGCCCCACCAAGCTGGCTGAGCTGCCCTCCAGCAGCTGTCCCCAGGGCACGGGGACACCCCAGGGCCAAGGAATTGCTCCGTGTCCCCAGGGATGGCTGGGGACAAAGCCCCCCGAGCTCAGCCCGTGGTCCCCGGGTTTGTTTAGTGACGTGGGTAAAGTGCAAATAGAGCCGAGCCCATTCCCACTTCTCCGAAGCATCCCACACCTCTGCACCTGCACCAGCCCCCAAAACCTGCTCTGGGGTGTCACAGCCCCCCCAGAAGAGCTGTGCCAAAACCCAACGTGGGGCAGGACCCCCCCTCATTACTGATTTGTTGTGTCAGGAGCAGTGGCACAGGCTGGGCAGCCTCGTTAGTTACGATGCAAAAAAACTGCTTCAAGTATCAAAGAAAACAAAACAAATGGCCAAAATTTGGGTTATCCTCTCCACACTCCCCCTTTCCCAATGGAAATATAAAGAAGGAAGAAAACCCTGAGCAAAGCGCTGTCTGGATTAGGGAATCAAAGCAGGAAAGAAAAGAGGAGCACAGCCACAGCAGCCAAAAAGTGACTCTTTGTGCACCTTGTTCCTAGTCCCCAACGTGTTAGAGAACAAGCTGCAAGTGTCATTAAAGCAGGTCGTTAAGTCACAGTAAAAATAACCATCATTAAAAAAGGAAAGGAAAAAAAGGAAAAAGCCAAACTTGGCTTTAATGTCACTGTCCCCATCCCCGTGGGACCCCCAGCCTGGCCCCAGCCCTCGGGGGAAGCTGCAGGGTCCCGCTGGAGCCGCTCTGGGGGACAGACTCCGCTCACTTCTTTGTAAAGGTGAGGGACAGAGCAGGTACCTGCTGCCCATCGGGCTCCAGGGACACCCACAAGTCCCATGCCGAGGCCACCATAGTCACCACAGCCTGGGGACATCAGCCTGCAACAACAAAAATAAAGACAAATAACTCCACATTGGGTTTTTCCCAGAAGGGGCTGCGGGAGGGTGAGCAGGAGGCAAAGCACTTCCTCCTCCCCAAAACCTCTTCAAAAAAGGGATCTAAGCTCATTTTTCTTTTAATTTTTGCATCCAGTACACTCCAAATTATTAAAGTTTGGTTGGCCTGGAGAGGAGGGAGGAGGCAGAGGGTGAGCTCTGCACGCACTGAGCTCTGCCTCCAGCGCGGATGCTGCCAGGAGCCAACGCCACGAGCTCCCGACTCCGTGTCCTTTGCAGCAAGAACAACATGCTCTCCATGCTCAGATTCCTCCCTAAATCCCTTCACAGGCTGAGGGGGGGCTCCTCCCCTCGCAGTGGGTGCCCCAGGACCTGCACGCCCTGGGGTGCAGAGGGGTGACAGAGCGGGGGTGAAGGTGCAACCACGGAGAAGCGAAGGAAAAGGAGTGGCTGGGAGGGAGGAAGGGAGGGAGAGAGAAACCAAACCCAAACCCAGCTGTATTGGGCAAAAACCAGACCACAAGCACAAGGGCAGCCAGGCTCTCCACCTGCATCCCACGCAGTCCTCCCGACACGCGCCAGCCTGAACTCCCACGGAACCATCCCCGCTCCAGGGAGCCGCAGGAACCTCCCTGGGATAACAGCACCCACGGCCAGGGCTCCCCCTGCCTCCAGAGGGGTCTGGCCACGATCACTGCCACGATTTCCCCCAGCCCATTCCACTTGGCTCGAGCCCTTCCCGAGACAAACGCGGCCAGTCACAGCACCTGCACCCGAACACACCTCGCTTTCCTGTTCAGTGACAAAACTCTCCTTAGAGGACAAGGTTAACGATGGCTTTACTTCTGAGCTGAGTGATGGATGGGGTGATGACAGGGTGGTGGGTGGGGGGTGGCTAGCTTTTCTCCTCCCCTTCTTAAACAAACAAAAAAACAAACAAAAAAAATAAAACAAAAAAAAGGAAAGGAAAGGAAAAAAAAAAGAAAAAGCTACAATCTTATAGACTAACCTCAGGAATATCAAAAAAGGAGCCCAATATTTTTTTAAGTAGGTCGCCACAGACCTAGTCGTTTACAGTATAACGAATGCGATTATTTCCTTCATAAATTTTAAATACAAGCAGAATAAAAATCACATTTTTTTCAGGCAACAGTAGCAGTTCAGTAGGTAAGTGGCTTGATCACATTTTTTTGTTTTGTATTAGTAATGCATGCAAGCAGCTTTAGTATTACAGATCCCTTATAGGTCATGAAATGTTTGCTCTCTCTATAAAGTCCCTCCATAAGTACCATCTTGTCTTCTCACGGGGGTTTCGGGCCGGCTGGAGGAGCCCGAACCTTGTTCGAAAGGTTGCGGAGTGCTTTGGGTTTCCGACGCCATGGCATCCGTGGCAGCTGCCTCCTGGATGACGGAGCCGGCGCCTTCGGCGTCCTCGCCCTGCTCGAAGGACTGGTTGGATCCGTTGCTCAGCTCTACATTCACTGTGTTAGTTCTCAAGGCTACTATAGTCCCCGCCTCGCTCCTCCTCTCTGCATAGATGCGCTGCTCGAAGGCCTGAGCAGCGTTGGGCTGGAAGTCGGGCTCCAGGGGGACAGTGTTTGTGGAGGAGCCCATGACGGTGCGGTACATCTCCATCCCCTCGGGCAGCATGGATTTGATCTTGGGCAGCCAGCGCTTGCGCACGCGCCGCGCGTTGGTGCACATGTCGGCCGCGATCACGTTCATCTCGCTCTCCTTAAAGCTCGGGGCAAAATTCTGACAATACACTGCAAAGACAGGGAGACACAGAGCTCAGGCTTTGGGGGGGAGTGGCACAGAGGTGAGCCCGGGCTCCCAGGTGGCAGCGGAGCTTCGCCCACGGACCTGAGCTCTCCACACACATGGAGCTCCTCAGCCGGAGACAACCGGGAAGGGTAAGAGCTGAAGGTATGAACACCACGGCTGGCAGAGGCAGAGGGATGCAGAAGGGCCCCTCACTCCATGGGGAGCCCCACAGCCACAAACCAGAGGTGGGCAAGAAAAAGATCCCACAAACTCCCCAGCAGCAGCTCCATTAACGGCTCCTAAACCCACAGCACTGCAGGAAATGTCAGAGCTGAGGGGCTGCCCAAGGGATTGTCCTCTGCCTGTCCCTCTCCTCATGCCACCCCTGTGTGGCCCAGCAGCCTGGCTGCTCCAGCATCCCTCTGCTGGCACATCCAGCAGGATGGGAGCTGCAGGAGCCCTGCAATCCCTCGTGTCCTGCTCCTCTGCGGGAGCCAAGCACCTGATGTTACGGAGCAGCATCCAAGGAACTGCCACGCTGAATAACTGTCAGCTAAAGCTCATGCACAGGGACAAATCCAGGCAGTAGGAACCCATCTCATATCCTGGCACACAACAGCAATGCCCTTCCAGCTCCCCTCAGGAAGGACCATGGCTGGAAAGTCCAGAGTCGGGACTCTCTAGGATAAAACTGCTAACAGGGAGCTGACTCCACCATGTTCAACCATTACTGAACATCTGCTCACTTATCCCTTTTCCCCAGATGCCACAGATCTCCCAGTGCAGCTGGAAGGCCCCTGGAATTTACAATTAGGGAGGGGAAAGATTTCCCTTCCAAATCTTAAAAACTAAATTTTAAAAATTGCTTAGAGTTTTGTTTTCCAGCACAGTAATATTTACACATAGATTTACTCCCCAGAATTCAGCCAAGGCGAGAGAACGCAGTGATTTCCACTGCATATGAAGCCCATGGTGAACAGATTTTCCTGCACCTCTCAGGGTTTCCTCCAGCCCTCCAGCTCCTCCCTCTCCAGCACCTCTTGTCCCAAAACACTCCAGGTATCCACAGGTGACTGAGGGGGAAGAGGCTGATGGAGAGCAGATCCCACCCACAGCTTCTCTGGGCAATCAAAAAACAATGCAAACTAAAAAATAAATGGATTACAACCCAATTCCACCATTATCACACAACAGAGTGACCTTCCCTGGCCAGGGCTGGGCCATGCTGTTCCACCCCAGCAGCAGAACATCCCTCTCCTTACATTTGACTGCATTAAGGACCCTGCTGTCCAAGGGCTTCCTGCTGGGATCGCTCGTGGAGGACCTGATTCCAGTTCCGCAGCTGTTGGCAAGTGTGTTCCTGTGGGGAAGGCAGAGGGACATCCTGGGAGAGGGGACAGGGGACAGCCACTGCCCTGCCCTCCTCCCTGCAGCTCCTGCTGGAGGCATCACCCAGATTTTAAGGTGAGGAACGAACGGGAAATGTGCACGGAAAGGGAATAAAGTTCTCAAGCATCATGAAGCACATGCACAGGGCTGGGTGCAGAGGATGAAGCACTTGTGACACAGGGTTAAACCCCCGGGAGGTGAAGGCAAAGAACCCCCTGGGAGAGCAGGAGGAGCAGCGGGACGGGACCTACCGATCGAAGAAGGTGGCCAGGAGACGTCGCAGCAGGACCTTGTGTTTGACACCAGCACATAAATGGCAATTCATCAGCTGCCCCCGGGTGATGTAAACGCCTGAGCCTGCAAGGGTGAGGAGGGACAATCCAAAATGAACCCCTGACACAGCCACAGAGCCACCCCCGAGCCACCCACAGCTCCTCCTCGCTGGTGGGAACCTCTTCTTCACCTGCTGCTACAAGGAGAGAGGGATTTCTGGAAAATCCTGGCAAGTCCCAGGCAATAACAACTCCTAATTTTATCTGTACAGACAGGAAGTCTATGGGAATCAAATGAAAGGATTCTTATTTTCTCACCAATGCACACAGTGCAAGGCTTACACTGTGATTTGATATGTACAGATCACATTATTTATTCTTTCTGAAGTGAGAAAACCTCAATCCATTTGGCCTTTTTTTTTTTTTTTTTTCCCATTACAGGACTGTAGAACACAGAGCTGGAAAGGAAAGAAAAAGCCCATCTAGCACAGAAAGAGGTACTTGGTTACAGATCTAACTGCTTCCAAAACCCCAGCCCATCACCTCTTGATACCTCTGGTGAGCAGGGAATTTTCCTTCTAATGCACAGCAACTGCTGTCTTTGAACCTGCTGCCTTTAAATATGTTTTCTGGAAGAAAAAGGAACCCTGTGCAAAGCAGCTGGACACGTCCAGAGGTCTGGCAGTACTTTACAGCAGGTTTTATATCAAACCTTTTCACTCTGCTCACAGACCAACCTGCTCCTGCCCCGGCACTGCTTCCAGGGAGAGGTTATCCCATTTTTCAAGCATTCTGTTACATGAGAGGGTTTTGGTATTTGCTTTTAATTAAGATTAAATAATGGGTCATAGCTGGATCCAGAACACACTCTGTTCTCGAGATATAAAAGCAACTGTTGGATGGAGAAGTAATATCTCCTCCTGGATTTCCAGGGAAGATGATTGTCCCTGACCCTCTGGGTGGAGCTGGAGCTCAGGGCAGCCCTGAGCCTGCCCCTCTGCACCTCCCCTGGCACCAGAGGCACCCCAGGACACTCATCCTGCCCCAGGATCCAGCATCCCTCTGCATCTCTGAGCCATGCCACGTCTCACCAGGAATTTTCCTTGTATTCTCTTCCATCTAATGAGTTTTTTGGTTCTTTTTAAGTAACAGTCTCAGTCCCTCCCTCGAGTGTGCTGTGGAGACTGCAAGCCTTGTTAAAGACCCTTTTTCAGAGAGGGCTGCTCAAGTTTGCTGAATCAATTCTAGCATGAAAAACCAGAAACAAAAGGAAAACATTCCCACTTGGAGAGTTGAGGCAAACTTTCACAGCAGGATCAAGCCCCCCCTCCAGGTCTGAGACAGGAATTAGGGGAGTTTATTTTGTATTTTAAGAGATAAGGCATCAGAGTGAACACCAGCCACCAGCAAGGGGAACTTCACTTGAATAAATGAAAAATAACCAGACAGCCACTATCAGTTAGTGATATTAATCTACTTTTTTTCCCAGATTGAAAAATGTAAATCAAGCAGAGTTGCCTCAAACCAATTTCCAGCTCTGACTGTGAAAATAACCTGCACCACTTGATGGTTTTAAGAAGTCTCACATTAAATGGAAATGGGTACAAAATGAATACTCCAGATACAAAATAAATACTTGTGGCTGTACTCTGTGCTTTGCCTTCCATCAAAGTCCTGTCCTCCATCAGCTGCAGACCTTTGTGGGCATCCCCCGAAATCCTGACTCCTCCAGAATGAAAATGAAATCATGCTACTAACCAAGGGAGAAAGGGAAGGGAAGAAGAACTGATTTGGACGGACTGTGCTGCCACATGTCCTTTTTGGACCAAGGACTTTGCAGGGATTAATCAAACCTCCCCACCTGGGGGCAGGTCTGGGATGTCCTGCCCAGCCATCCCCACACAGCTACATCCAAGGGAAAACCCCACAGCCAGATAACTGCAAAGCAAAGCTGGGGGGAAGTTCTAAAAGCAGAATATTATTATTTCCACTGGAATTTGGCCTGGTCACTCCAGTTAAACACTTTCTGTGCAGTGCTGGGTGTGCCTGGGTTGGCACAGCCACCTGGTTTCACTCCTCCAGCTCTACACTCTTAACAGCACCATCTTCCACTTCACACTGGCCAGAAATCTTTCATAGAGGAATAAATTCTCCCAATATTGTAAATTTCCCCCAAAATGAAAATAAAGACAGAATAAAAGACCAAACTCAATTCCTTCTCCTCCTGTTGCAGCATTTGACCACTTAGTAAATTTATAAAGAAAATTTTACAGGTTTTTCAAAGCTTGTTCACTGACACAAATTTTATCTCCTTTGTATTGTAAATCTTGTAATGTGGTAATTTTTGAGGGGGCTGTGTTGGGTTTTTAGACCTGTGATTCTAAATGAAAACAGACTCGCTGCAGCCACACCGAGCAGGAAGAACACAAGCTGCAGAATTCAATTAAAATGCTAAATTAATTCAATTGAATAAATCCTGTTAATGACACATTTCTCCGTCAGCAAATTAAAGGAAACTCAGAACTTTTCAAAAGACGATCGGTGACGAATAATCCAGAAAGACACAGCAAGGGCACAGAAGATGCACGACTCCAGCAAGATGGAGAGCACAACTCCAGAAGGAAAACAGCAGCAATCCAAAGGCATTCTGCAAAAGCTACCTGCAACCAGCTCGAGTTTTTCCCCAGGGTCTCCCTCGGAGTAGAGCTTTGGGTGGCAGCGGTACCCGATCTGGCTGATGAGGCTGGCAGGGAGAGCCACCAGATCCCGGCGGATCAGGACACAGGAGCGGTTCTCCAGCGGGATCTGCTCCGGCTTCTCTTGGGCAACTTCAAAATGAAAAGGGAAAAACGTTAAAATAACCTGTCACAAGGCTGACAGAAGGTCAGATTTGACTTTTTCACGCAGCACTTGGAAATATTCCCCACTCCAGGTGTCACCTGAAAGCTTGGAAAAATCCCCTGGTCTCCCCTTCCACGGCAGCCTCAGCTTCTGCAAAAGGGATTCTTAGAATCTAATTATGCTTTAACTTCTCCTGAGTTAATCATTTGTGAAAATGGACAGCTCTGCCCAGCTGGCATCACTCTGCAAGCGCAGCACACGGAGCTGCTGCCCCAAACACCCCAGGAGGGGGGCAGGAATTCCACCTGGAGGTTCTAAACAGGCAGTAAATTGCCCCAGTTTGACGAACATCTGCAGCAGTTTCATCCTTACTTCTCTTGATGGTTTTTCCTGCTGAAGTTAAAATCCAGACCCTGCAGGTACCTCTGTTCTGAGAAAGGTCAGCAGATCCTCTCCTGAGATGCACCCACCAGCCACCTCCAGCCCACCTTCTCTTCCTCTGCCTTCTGCAGGCCAACTTTTCCTCTCAGTAACAAAAGAAGCCCCCATCAACAAGGCAGAAAATGTTATTAAGATGTAGCTTCAAAACCAAAATACCAGATTTTCCCAACTCGCTCTGAGGCACCATCTCCAGATCCCACCACTGCCCAGGAGCAACCAGTAACATGGAAAAGCTGGGAATACTGGGCTGTCCTGCTAGCCCCTCCAAATCTGGGTATTGTGGGCACACAGAGGATTGGTTTCTAAAGCATATTTACAGCCCAAGACCACTGGATTGCTTAAAATGACAATTCTGACAGCAACGAGGGCTGACCATGCGCATCAATTCAGGACACGGTGGGAACAATTTCAGGGCTGAACTACAGCCCAGCTCTGCCATGATCCACCTTTTTCTCCCCAAAACTGTTTGATAACATGGCAGGAGCCACATACAAACCCAAACCCAGCTCTGTGCTCGAATATCTGTGAGCACTGAGAGAAGAAGAAACCCCAGCAACGAGCGTTTCTGAACTCAAAACCTCCCCTGCTCCAGAGGTGTCTTTTCCTGCCATTCTCCCCGAGTTCTGGGGGCCACTTTTCCTCTCTGCAGATAAAATAACAAGTTCTGCAGACTTGTTGCTGCAGTAACCGAGGGCGATGGCTGGGGGACAAAGGGAGCAGTGTTCTAAGTAGGACATGCCCGCGGTGCTGTGCTGGCTTGTGGCATCCTATCGCAGGCTCGGGAGCATCCCCACCCTCAGGGCTCCCTCTGTCCCAGAGAACAGCCAGGAGGGATTCTGGAATAGCAGGAGGATGGCCCTTGCTCAGGGAGACAGCACCCAGCAGCAGCAGAACAACTCACGGGGTGTTTTTGAACCCTTTGTGCCATCACAGCCCCATTATCAGAGTGAAACCTGTGCCATTCCCAGCTGCAATATTCCCAGCATCCCAGATCCAAGATCCCACTGGAGATGGGGGTCAGCTCCCACTGAGGGAGAATTCCATAGACCAGCTCTATTTTGGGGCTTTTAAAGAGTGATAAGCAAACCATATCCCATTAAATACTGATATTTTCCAGCTTAGAGAAACCAGAAGCAAAGGGACAGTGGGTATGGAGGAACCAATCCTGCTCTGCTGTCCTTCCCTGGCAAGGCAGGGCCACCAGGGCAGCTTGAGGGGAGGAAGGGACACCTCAGTCATCTCCCAGAGGTAAAATTAAATATACAACCCCTAGGAGCTGTATATGTGAGCTACACAATCCCATCCCAGCACAGGGCTCTGCCCAGATTATTAAAATTGAATTTTTAATACTTCATTTTTACTTTAACCAATGACTCAGATCAAAAGCACCCACAATATCCATCAGCACCATACTTTAAAAACCAAACTAAAATTCAGCTAAAAAGACCAAGTGCAACTCGACCCACTGCTGGATTTTGGTTACATCTGTCCTGCTGGCTCACTGACTATAAATCTCTTATTAAACACGGCCATGAATCATTCTGGGGGGCTTTGCTTCCATTCAAGCATTAGCACAAAATCAACGATACTAAACCAAGAAGAGGTTTGGGGCTTTCAGTGGCACCTCAGCTGAGCAGATAGCAATCAGTTATGTAAAGGAGAGGACACAAGAGCCACTTTGGCCCCATGTTTCCACAGAAAGCCACTCTGTTTGGCCTTTCTGCTCCGGAGAACAGGAGAGTATTTGCTTCTAATTAATTTGTATCTTCAGAGGGCAGCGGCTCCTTCCCTTTGAATGAAAGGGCAAACAATGGGAAGTATTGTTAAATACAGTTTTGTTCCCGAACAAGAAAGGAGCTCCCAGCCAGCAGAGAGGGGCAGGAAATCATTACAGAGGAAGCCATGAGAGCTGCCAGCCAAACACTGGAATATTTTATTTATTTGGATATATGCTTTAATCCCAAACTTAGCTGGATGCTGCAGCTGCAACAGGTGATGCAGAATGGGAAATATCAGTTTTCCTGGATTTTTTTGGCAAAAGAAACAGCCTCAAACTAACTCAGTGGTCCATGCTCCATGGCTCCAGGCTCTGCATGATGCTGGGGCAGGTGTCCTCCTTATCCCTAAAACACAGTCCAGAGATCCCTCACAGCACCTCAGTGCTGAGCTCAGGATGGTTTGGCGACATTGGGATTTCTGCATGTCCCACCTGAGGTGTTTGGGGCTGGATTTGCTGGGGATGGATGCTCAGGTGAGTGCCTGGGAATTGCTGGACGCATACCTGGCCCCAGCACTCACTTATCTCCTTACTACCTGACAATCCAAACAGCAGGGCTTCAAAATGAGTCATGAAGCCCAATTCCTACCAGTTTGGGTTCTCCAAACTGCACACAAACATCAAGGTGCTCCTGTGGGTAAGAAACAACTGTTTCTGGTTTAGGAATGGGATTTGGAGATACAGAAATCCGTGATGGAGCCTCACCCAAAAACCGATGTTTAAAGAGTCCCAACATGTAACCACACTACTCAAGCCCTGAAGAAAAGACTGGAGAATCCATCTCCACCTGCTCCACCATGGATGCAAACACTTGGATGATCCTCCCCTGTTCCCTACACGGCCAGAAGTCTCTTTTCAAATAGCAATATTTTAACATTTCTCTCCCATCAGCCTATTTTCCACTAGCAGTGGGACCACCTCAAAAATATCTTCCCTCCACAGCCTCAGCATCACCAGCATCTGCTGCAGATGTAAACCTGTAGCAGAGGACACACGCAAGCACCACGGGATAGATCCATCACAGAGTCCCAACGGGGAGAGTTTACATTTCCCAAATAGTACATTTATACCAGCGTGCTGAAATGCAGCCCTTTGATTTGTGACCTATTTATACAGGGAGGTAATCTGGAATTAGTATAGGAAAAATATTACTGCTTTATAAATACCCCTATCTTGCCTTCGCCTCAGATCTCAGCCAGGAGTGAAACATCTGCCAGCCTAAAATTAAACATCTGTGGTTCAGAGGGAGGAAAATGGGGCTGGAAGTTTAATGCCAAAAAAGGCCAGAGGCTGAGTGCCCCCAGCGTGGGGCTCAGCCTTCCCCTGCTCGGCTCCGACCGTGCCGGGGCCGGGATGGGGCAGTGCCACCACACAGCCACCCAGGCTGGAAAAGACCTCCAAGACCACCAAGTCCAATCTGTGACCAGTCCCCACTTTGTCACAATAAGACACACAGCCTGGCTTTCAGCACTTCCCAGGTGTTTGAATCCCTCTGCAAAAAGCCAAAGCGCTGTGGTGAATAACTGGCACAGCCCTCGGCCGCTTCATTTCCTAAAAAAAATCCACGAGCTCTTTGCTGCTGAGCATCCTCCCTGTGACAGCCTGGCCCCAGAGGGACCAGAGGGGCCTGGCAGGATCAGGTGGCTGTCCCTGCAGTGGCAGCCAGCTGCTCCATCCCGCTGCAATTCCCGGTGTCGCTGCCGTGATTTACGTCGCTGCGGCGCGCCGTGCCCGGCCCCGCTCGGGATGCTGCACGGGCTGCATCATTTGGGATTCTGGGTTCTTCCTTGCCCTCTTTCCTTGCTGTCAGGAATCAGAGGCCAGGAGAGAAAACTATTCTCTCAGCTAATTACCACAACTATTCTATAATGGCTATTTTAGATGAATTTTTAATGAAGCGTGCTCTTGTCAGTTCAGGATTTCATAACTTTCAAGTCCGGCCTTTACATTCCAGCCATTTGCTGCATAAAGATTTTCCCTTTTCCCTGCAAACCGGTGCAGCAGGAGCAGGGGAGGAGGACGGACCCTCACACAACTTTGCTGGTGCCTGTCAAAATTAAATTAACTGCATCTGCTCAGCAGAGAGCTGACTGACAAGAACGCGGCTCGGTGCAGAAAAGCGCCGAGCATCTGCAAGTCCTGCTGAAACCCACTTCAGCTCAGGCCCACGACGCTGTAATTAACAGGGATAAAAATACTTTTGCTTTTGTTTAATATTTTCTGGAGTTGTGCGTTCCTCAGATCAGATGCTGGAAACCTCATTAAGTCTCGCTCGTGTCCTCGAGGCCCACATGTTCTCCACAACCAGACCTACTTATGGAGCGAGGAGCCATTTTACCGCAGTGCTCCCGGCCCGGCGTGCCACCGCGCCCACCAAACGTGGCCAGAGCCTGGGGGGAAACTGAGGCAGCTCTTCCTACACCCAGCTGCCACCCACCTAAGCCTGACCCTCCTGTGTTTAATCCTGGCCTCATCCTGCTGTTCCTTTTGCAGGTCCAACACTTGTCTTGGTCCCTCACACCAGTGTCACCACTGCAGGTGGCACCAGCCTCTTCTCCCAGAAGAGGAAAACAGCCTCAAGCTGTGCCAGAGAAGGTTCAAGCTGGACATCAGGAGGAATTTCTTGATGGAAAAGGTGTTCAGGCATTGGAAGGGACTGCCCAGGGAGGTGTTGGGAGTTCCCATCCCTGGAGGTGCCCACTGGACGTGGCACTCAGTGCTCTTTGGTCAAAGTTTGATCTTGGAGGCCTTTTCCAACCTTAATGATCCTGTGATTTGGAGGGATCTGATCCAGCTTTGGAAATTCAGAATGGCTCTGACTACAAAAAGGGGTGAAGAGAATAAATTTAAAACCCCCAGCCTTGGGGCAAGAAGAGGATTGGTGACCCTTCCAAGGGTGGTGGGTGGTGCTGGAGGCAGGTGAATATTGTCACTAGTGTCCCACCAACCCTCACCAGCACCAACACTTCAGATGGGGAAATAAAATACAGAGAAAAAGAAGGAAAAGAAAAATCCAGCAACCCTCTCTGAAATTCAGAGCTTCATTTGCTCTGCTCCTCTTTGGCTTTGTTTTTGTTTTCACAAACAGGGCTCTTGGAAACCTTGGCAATCCCTCTTTTAAAGGGCTCCCCCTCCCCCAGGCCTTTGTGAGGCTGTCGGGATCTCCATGCCAGGAGCAGGATTAGCTGCCTTCTCTCTTCCATCTTATGCTTTCATTATTCTGCACCTTTTGAGAGGGTACAGTTTATCCCGAGTAATTAAAACACAGTTAGCCCTACAAGTCCAAACCATAAAGGAACAGCTTAGGTTTTACTTTTTGTCATCTCTTTTTTGCGTGCCCTCTTTTCCAGGAAGCCTGATACCTATAGCTGCCTTATTTCAAACAGGAAACTCCCCTGAAAGGAGCAGGAGCAGAAGAGGAATTTCAGCAGAAATGTGGGATATTTAGAGCCTTACAACCTGCCTCTTCCCTGCATGGCCCCTGGCCTCACCACCTGGTTCTCCCTACAGAAAACAAGCAGGAAAACTTGGCTGTGGGATGCCCAGCTCTGGCACAAGGGCTGCAGCATCTCCCAGTGGCACCTGAGAAAGCTGCTGGGATTTTCACTTTTCCAGCTGGGATGATTCCTGCCCGACATGGATGAGGGACAGCCTCAGAGCTGCTGCCTGCACCATCCCCAGGCTGCTCCTGTCCTTGCCTTCTGAATTGGTTTTGTTCTGTTCCTGCAGGAACTGGCCCCGTGACAGGGATGGAAAACACAGTCCAAGGGCATAACCCCACCGCTCCAAGGAGGCAAACCCACATTACTCACCACAGGCTGTACAGCGGGGGAAAAGCAAAATAAACTCAAAACAAGTGGGCAACAGCACAATTCCTGTTCAGCCTGCCTCCAACAGCAGCCGTGGAGGAGACCCTGACCTTGTCCCACTCCTCTCCTGCCCCATCCCAACCACTGGGACCTGAAGCAGGACAGGGAGAATACTCAGGCTTTTGAGGCTCATTTCCTACAACTGCTTGTCCACTTCTAACAAATACTTCTAATATTCAAATAGTAAATTTGCTATGTTTTCCCCCTTTTTCATATGGCTTAGTGAAAAAACACCTTGGAAAATACTGCTTGTCTGCTTGCTGTCTGGCTGGGATGGGATGGGACAGGCCAGTGTGTGGGGGTGAGACCATTCTCAGTACTAAGGAAGCCTACCTGTTTTATATAACAAAAATTATCTTACTTGCCAAATCTTGTTCCTTGGTGAAGACTAAAATCAAATGGCTTTGAGGAAAGCTCACCAAAGAACCAAAGTTCAAATATTTGCAACATTAGTGCAGCAATCCCAGCAGCCAGGGCTGGGAAGCAGCTCCAGGAGAGGGGATGCTGTGAGCAGCCGGAGCCTATGGGAAGATGTCCCTCCCTGGGGAGCTCCAGAGGATCAAAGCTGCTGCCACAAACACCTGCAGCTCCCACCAGGAGGCCACTGTGAGCCTGAGCTTCCATATGGGACACTGCCAGCTCCATCTGTGGGAGCTGCTTCCATGTGGGATGCACAGAGGACAGCACCCAGTGGGCATCTCCCCCTGGAACTGAGCCCCTGGACCTGCACCCCACCTGTCCTGGCTCCTCAGGAGGGTCTGAGCCCTGCAAGGTGCCAGGGGAAGGGGCTGTGTGCCCAAGGAAGTGGGAGGGAAAGGACCTCTCGTGTCCCTGTGCCCACCTTGGGGCTGAGCAGCAGCTCCCAGACAAGCACCACCAAAACGAAGCTGCCTCCTCTGCCTGAGGCCCATCGAGGGATGCACACTCATCCCTTAATCCCAGATTCTGGAAGGGCAGCAGAGGGATTTTATTTAGTTCTGGGCACTGATGTTTCTAATGGGGAAATAAAAGAACATCAAGCCCCAAAAATGCTTTTCCCTTTCTGACAGTGATGTGTGGGACAAGGCTGGCAAAGCAGAGAGGGGCACTTCAGGCAGTGGGGAGAAAAGTCCATCTTTCCTTCCTTTTGCAGATATTCCTAGTTAACTTCAATAAAAATTATCTAATTGATGTTCTCCCTTCCTCCAAATATCCCATGTTCATCACTTTTTTGGAAACTCTTCTTTTAAAAAGCCAGGACAGAAGAGAGCTCCCAGAGTGACCACCTCGCCCTGGGCCAAAAGGGCTGGTGCTTCCCTTGCCATGGATGACCCAGGGCAGGTGAGCTCAGCCATCACCTCTGAATGGATGTCACCACCACAGGGCTCGTGCAACCACCAGCCAAAAAGCAAAGGCTGATGTGACCCTGGTGGATGATGCAGCCTCTCATCCAAAGATTCTCCCAGCTGGGGAGCGATGGCGCAGGGTGGGACCTGGACATCAGCACCAAGCCCACTGCACGGGGCAAAAAACCAACCAGTGAAACCCCCACAGACAACAGCCTGGTGAACAACCCAAATCACACAACCCCGAGGAGAGAGCCATCCATTACCAGAGTAACCTCCCGAGGACTTGATGTACATCTGCCCGTACTGCTCCTCCACCATGGTGTCGTAGGCCTCGTCGTCCTCCTCGTCCTCCTCGTTGTGGTAGGAGGTGGGGCTGTCGGTGGTGGGGATGCTGCTGGCGCCGGGGCTGGTGCGCTCCCCCTGCGAGTACTGCACCTGCTGCACGTTGGGGATCAGCGTGGCCAGGTTGGGCACGCCGTAGTAGGAGACGCGCGACAGCTTCAGCGGCCCCGCGTTGGCACCGCCGGCGCCGCCGGGCCCGTCCCGGGCGCCGGGCTCGAGCGGCCGCTTGCCGGGCAGGCCGGGCAGGGCCTGCAGCTCCAGGTTCTCGTGTTTGACGCGCGTGAGGAGCGGGATGGGCATGGAGGGGGACATGACGTAGGGCGCCGAGGCCGACTGCAGCTGGTTGCAGGGGCTCTGCGGCTCCGAGCTGGGGTCTTCGATCATGGTGGTCTGAGAGTCACAGTGGGGAGAGCTGACCTTGAACATCAAGTCCGTCCCTTTCTCCACGATGTGCTGGATCTGCAGGAAGCCCGCCGTGTACATCACCACCAGCTGCTCGCTGGCCGCCATGGTCAGCTTGCCGGTGTAGCAGAAGGACAGGATCTGCTGGAAGCAAGCCGGGGGGACGGTGCCCGGCAGCTCAAAGGCGTTTTTGCTGTTCCCACTGAACAAGTCTCGGAAGTAGAGGCTGCTGGCGGCCAGCACCGCCCGGTGAGCCTTGAAGGCTTGGCCCTTCACCACGATGGAGACATCGCAGTACAGCCCCAGCAGCCGCTGCTCGTTCAGGCAGCCCAGAACGGTGTTCCCAAAGTTGGGAATCTCTATGTGCAACATCTGCGACATGGCTCAGGATCGGCCGGAGCTCCTCAGACATTCAATGCAGGAATATCCAAAGTAGGGCACATCTGAAAAACGGAGAGGACAGGGAAGAGAGGAACAAGGTTTTTAGACAGTTCACCAAAGCAGGCAGGAGCACAGGAACCCACCTCACCCGACATCAAAGGCTCCACGCCGAGCTCCGAGAGCCAACGCGGAAAAGCAATCGCTTACAAAATTTACTTATCGATGGTTTCGAGCGGCGTTGGGAATGCCATTGGTGGATGGCAAAGGATATTCCAAAAAAGCAAGTATTTCCTTCAAGTTGTGGTCTGTTTAAATAAGCACCACTGACTTATTCCCCTGGGGGTTTTTACTTTATGCAGGAAAATCTGAACGATAATGGGAGAGAACAGTAAAGCAAACGAAAGGCAGTCAGACAGATCTCGGTAGCATTATATAAGAAACACAACAACCAGCAGCTATGTTGAAACTACAGAAAAGATATTTATAAAACAATGTGCCATTCTGCCCGAAATAAATACAGGATTCTGCCGGAGCGAGAGCTCCCAGGAAAAAGCACTTTGAAAAGCAATCTTCCCATTTGCACCAGAAAGAGGGAGCATTTCAACAGTTAAACCCCTTCTCAACAGATTCATCCTCCAACAAAACGAGGCTTATCTCCAAATTAAGCCAGATATTTGAGCCCCAATAAAACAAACCAACGTGCCTGCCGCAGCGAGCCGCCTACCAAGTTGTCTTTTTATTTTCCTCCCCCAGATCCCGAGCGGGGCAGGGGGAGCCCCAGCCCAGCCCCTGGGGCAGGCAGAGCCCCCAGCCCCAGCCCGGTACCCCAGCGAGGACCCTCGGAGAGACCCCGGGATGGAGGCGGCAGCTCCGGCTCCGCATCCCACCACGGCCGCCCCTCAGGGCCGGCTGTACCTTGTGGCCATGGGCAGAATTCCTGCTTCCACCTCCCAAAACAAGAGCCTGGCGTTGGAAGGGAGCCGGTGCGCAGAGCCGGAGCAGGTAGCGCTGGTGCAGCCTGGGCGCTGAAACTCCAGCGGAGCAAATCACTGCGGATGCACCAGAGCCCCCCCTGCTCCCTCCCCAAAGAGTCCAGGAGATTTCAAATCCTGCCTGTAATACTACTGAAGAAAAACTACATTTAACTAATACTGAAAGCTCAGAAGAATGATATTTTTTTTTAAAGGAAAAAAAAAATTAGAAGTTTATCTGAGAAAGATTTAAAAAAAAAAAATCTCTGGAAAGAAAATAATAACCCACAAAGAACTGCTCTGTTCCCATTGCCGAGGGGAAAAAAAAAAAAAAAAAAAAAAAAGTCCTATCTGCAAGGCCACGGGGTAACAGGAAGAAAAGGGAACACACTCGGAGCCAATTTAATTGTATCTGCATGGTTAAAAAAAAAAAAAAAAAAAAAAAAAATTCTTCCAAGCGAGGAAGTTCGCGGTGCTTCGCCTGGCCGGGAGCGAACGTACCTTGAGCAGCGTCCCCGGGCTGCCACTGCCGAGGGGCTCCTGTCCCCCGAGTGCTCGGGGGAGGAGGGGGAAAATAAAATATAGTATCAAGCGCTAGGTTTGTATCTGCTGGAGCTCAAGCTTTTACCAAGTCAAATCTCCCCGGCAGCGCACAGCATCTAAATGAATAGGCCGGATGCAGATTAACATTCAGGCTGCTCTCTGCAATGAATAGAGCCCTTTGATTAGGGACCTGAAGTAAATGCCAGTTTCAAACCGAAGCTTTAAAAACAGAGAAATATCAGTGCCAGAGGAATGCTCTCAGTGTTGGTACAAGACAGACTTTTGATGAGTCACTGCAATGCAAACAAAGATGGCAGAAATACTGTACTGTATGCTGATGAAATGCTTAGTGGTGCCACGGCAACTGAGACAGGTTTTAAATTTATAGTGCAGTTTTGCATATGAATTACGCTGTAAACTGCCTCCCCTGCCATCTAGTACATCCAGAGTGTCAAAGCATTTAAACTATTCCAAACAGTCTGCAGAGCTGGCACTGCTGCTGGTTAACTCCTGCGGCCAGGGGAAGGCATGGAGCAGGGGTGCTGAGCATCCCCTGCATCTCCCCAGCATCCTCCTGCACCCCCAGCATCCCCCCAGCGTCCTCCTGCATCCCTGAGCATCCCCCTGCATCCTGAGCATCCTCCTGCATCCCCGAGCATCCTCCTGCATCCTGAGCATCCCCCCAGCATCTTCCTGCATCACCCCTGCATGGCCTCAACATTCTCCTGCACTACCCCCACATGCCCCCAGCATCCTCCTGCATCCCCTCAACAACCCCTGCATGCCCCCAGCATCCTCCTGCCTGATCCAGCATCCTCTTACCTGGCCCAGCATCCCACCCCATGAGCCCCCCAAAAGCACAGCTTTGGGAACACCCAAATCTGCCCAAAATAAAGGTGCTCCTTGTCCAGCCACAGTCCTGCTTCCTGCCCCCCCATATTCCCCCCCAAGTACAAGAAAGCTTTTCAAATGCAGGAAAAATGTTTACCCCTTGGGGAAAGCTTCTTTCAGTCTGTGGCTGAATCCACTAAAAGCAAATCCATTTGCTTAAGTAATGAAATCCCAGTCACATTGTCTCCTGGATTCAGATTTTAAATTACCTTCGCATTTATTGAGCATGTTTGGTGCTTTTTTCTGGGAAAGAGGGTGGGGCCTCCCTTTGCTTATTCCTCCCTCACCCAGAGCGTTTTCCCCTGTGCCACTGGGCTGGGATTTGGTTCAATTGCTGCGCTCTGATGGTCACACACAGTTAAAATCCCAGGGATGAGAGGTGAGGCCATCCCCAGAGCAGGATAACTGCAGGAGCACAGGGCTGGTGATGCTCCAGCCTGACCCTTCCACATCCAAAGGGATGTTTGGTGCACTGAGTTCGAGCCCAGGGCAGGGAAATGCTGTGCTCACAGCAAACCCCTGTGACACCCCGAATCCCACAGCACCTGCAGAGCCTCACCAGGGCTCCCTGCCTCGGGAATGCTCAACACACTCACCCAAACCCCTCAGGAGGTCACTGGGGTCCTGCTGAGATGAAGGTGCTGAGAGGGCACCCAGGGGCCATCCTGTGAGGAGATCAGAGGTGACACCACAACGACCAAGGCTCAGAGCCCAAAACCTCTCCCAGCCACGACACCACCCACCTCTGGTGGAGAAAGGATGGAATCTGCCCTGGCAAACAAAGATCCACTCTGGATGTGTGAAAATTGCTGAGAAAAAGCCGACTTGCAGAAAAAAACATCACTGCACAGGCACCTAAGGAAGCCTCATCCATGGTGGTGGGAAGAACATGGGTGGAGAAGGATTTCCTCCTCTTCTCTTCCAGGAAGGGACCCTCAGAGCTGGAGAAGACACCAGGGAGGCTTTGGATGGACCTCCATGGACCCAGCAGGGGAGGATGTGTGGGACCAGCCAAGGACAGCTCGGTAGCACAGAACAAGCCAAACTTAAAATAAATATCAATTATTAATATTACTTAGATTTTACTCTATAAACAAACAGGCTTGTCAGGAGCAACCTCTGTCTCTCCCTAAAAACACCACATTGGGCTGGTTTAGGGTATGTTTAAGGCAGAGGGAAGCCACAAAGTGCCCCAGCATCCCAAATCTTTGGCAAATCTCAGATAAAACCTCCCAGGAGAGTCTGAACCAAGATGCTGCACACAACTGGTCCCTCCCAAAATGCAGCTCTCAGGGAAATGGGGGGGAAGTGACAGTGTTTGGTTTAGAAACAGCATCAAGGAACACCCGGAAAAGCCACACAGGGAAGCTGCAAAAGCCCAAACCACCCCAGTAAACCATCAGCCAGGACTGCTGGAATTTCTCCTTCCTCCTCCCTCTGCCCCTTCCTTTTTATGACCGGAATATATAAAAAAGCCTCCCAAAACCCAACCCAAAACCACCAACAACCCCAAATCATGAAGAAAGAAAATAAAACAGTCTTGAAAGCCCAGGAGAACCTGCTCACCACCAAACCTCACATTCCCTAAAAGCAACAGCAACAAAAAGCTACTGTGATTAGACAGCAAATGCAATAAAGCTTGATAATTTCTAACTTTAAAATTCCTCTATTAAATATGATAATTTTTGTTTTAAATAGAGCACCAAGTGACTTTTAAAGGGTTTGAAATGGCTTCAGCCCATCTGACACAGGAAGAGCTGTGCTGCAGGAGAAATGACCTTTGCAATTCCAGATATAAACTGTGTTTTTCCAATCTCACCTCCCAAGATGAGTTGTGTCCCAAGGTGCAGGAGGAGCCCACAGCATGACCATCACCCCAAAAAATCCAGTCCCTTTTGGGCTGGAGCATCCTACAGGTGACAGATCATCAATAGGACATATCCAAATGGGAAAACTTGGATAAAACTGGATTAAAACCAGACAAACACCCCCCACCTTCATCATTTTACATATGTGACCATTCAAGCAAAACATCATTTTGTTTTCTGATGGCAGCCTCTTTCTCCAGCTTGTGGATACAGGAGGATAATTTGTACATCTCTGCCTGATTTTTGTAAAGTCATAGCCTTTGTCACAAGATGTTCATAAAAAATGCAGCTGTTATTTGAGACAACTTCCAGGAGAGTTTGGGAATTCTCAGTTTCTGCATTCATCTGCTTTGGGGGAAAAGAAAAAAGCAGGTTTGCTCTTTTCCAAACTTAATTCCCTGCTCTGAGGCCTGAAAGGTCAGGGTGAGGCGACAGCAACAAAGGAAAAAAGCATCGACCTAGAATAAGATGCTGCCATCAGAGCTCCCCCAGGAGTAATCAGAAATAATTAGATAATGTATTTAAATTGTCCTTTTTCTTAGCCAAACAACAGAAAGACTCGGTGGAGAATGATTCCCCCAAAACCCCCCAGATATGCCCCAAGTCCTGCAGCTCCCCAGGAAGGTGAGCTGGGCAGCAGCTGGGACAGGGACAAAGGGACAGGGACCCTCCGGGGGGTGGGAGACAAAGCAGCCAAAGGCTTTCACCCCCCCAGCCAAAGCCCCGGGAAAGAAAAGAGCTGAAAAGTCTTGCCCTTGAAGGCCCCAAAGGGTCAAAGGAAACTCCCCTTTCTTCTGTAAATGAGGAGAGAGGGGGGGAAAATCCCACCCTTGGATTTGAGGTTGGCAGGGGGATGTCACCCATCAGGGCAGGGGGTCCCCAAAGCCACCCAATCCCCCCAGACAGAGGGGTGGCACCTGCCCTGCTCTCACTGCAGGGTTTGGGCGTTATTTCCCCATTTTTTAATGAAAAGGAAATGTAAAAACCCAAGGGAAAATATGCAACAGCTCACTGCAAACTCAGTGGCCAAGTGTCATTCCCTGAGCCCGGAGATGCTGTAATGCCTCAAATAAAATAAAGAGTTAAATAAAATAGACTTCAGTAAACCAAAGAGTTAAATAAAATAAATAGCTAAATAAAGCCTAATAAAATGCACTTCAGGTCTAGGCTGAGCATATTCCCCCCACCCCTGCATCACAGGCTGTGCCAGGGAGCCGAGGAGCCAAAATGCAAAGTCTTTGCACCCCCACCCCAACAACCAAGCATCCCCTCTCCCAGGTGAGAAAATCCAGGGGGGAAAGGGACAGGGACTGGGGCACAGGTTTGGATTCCTGCACAGTGTTTGGCAGGGGGGAGAAAACAAGGTTAAGTTCAGTAATCAAATGGCAATGAGCCTCCTCTCCTGCAGCACTGGTATCTGCAGCTCCAAAGTATTTATTTTTGAAATGCTGCAAGTGGCAAGCGGCGCGGACGGACCCTATTTTTAGTGTAGCAGCCAGTGGCAATGGGTGAAAGAAGATTATTTCTGCTTTATTAAGAGCAGAAAGTGAATTTGCAAATATTACTCAGTAAGACACGGGCAGCCCACACGCAGCAGACATGCAGCACGGAGCCACCGCGGCTCCAGAACCCTCAAAGTTCCTGAGGAAAGCACAGCCCCGGAGGCTGGGCAGGGAATGGGGGGGAAAGATGGAAAAGTGAATTAAAATCCTGCTGATGGTGCAGCTCAGGAGGTGTGGGCAGCCCCGCTGCCAGGGGATGGGTACTGGGTGCTCGGTCTGGGACCCTGGCAGTGCCCTGGGGGCTCTCCCTGGGGACAAAGCTCCAAACATCTCTTCTGGGGGACCTGGCACAGCCCTGAGGGGTCTCTCTGAAGAGCCTGGCACAGCCACAGGGATGCCAGGACAGCCCTGAGGGGTCTGTGCACAGGGATCCTGGCACAGGACTGGCATCGCTTTTTGGGGACCCCTGCACAACCCCGGGGTCTCTGCCCAGGGACCCTTGCACAGCCCCAAGCATCCCTCCATGGGAACCCTGGCACAGCCCCGAGGGGTCTCTTTGTGGAGACCCCAGAACAGCCCCAGGGTCCCTCCCTGGTGCCTGGCACAGCCCCGAGGGTCTCTCCT